TCTGGTTACTATTTCTAACTCTTAAATCACTGCCATTAAAACAGAGGTAGTTATAGAAAATTTAGTAAAATATTATTTAACTATATATTTATAGCTAGTAAATTTATGTGTTTCTTAAGAATCCGTGGTTAGACTCAAATTTATTTATGACACCTAAATTTAATTTTTTAAAAATCCATTGCTATATAGATTTTTGGCTGTGCATATTTTATGGCTACATGTGGTATTTTGATAGCTGTATAGAAGGTGTAATGAAGCAATCAGGGTAACTGGAATATCCATCATCTCAAACATTTGTCTTTTTATGCTCGTGTGGAATATTAATATTACAATTCCTTTCTAGCTATTTTGAAATGCACAATAATTATTGTTCACTACAATTTTCCTACTATATTATTAAATACTAAAACTTATTCCTTCTGTATTTCTGTGTCTCTTAACCAACTTCTTTTTTTTTTTTTAGATGGAGTTTTGCTCTTGTTACCGAGGCTCGAGTGCAATGGCGTGATCTCGGCTCACCGCAACCTCCATTTGCTGGGTTCAGGCAATTCTCCTGCCTCAGCCTCCTGAGTAGCTGGGATTACAGGCACGCACCACCATGCCCAGCTAATTTTTTGTGTTTTTAGTAGAGATGGGGTTTCACCATGTTGAGCAGGATGGTCTCAATCTCTTGACCTTGTGATCCACCCACCTCGGCCTCCCAAAGTGCTGGGATTACAGGCTTGAGCCACCACTCCCGGCGCCCCTTAACCAACTTTTTTTCATCCCCCTCTTCCCTTCCCAGCCTCTGGTAACACATTTCACTCCATCCCCATGAGATTTGCTTTGTGAGTTCCTGTGTATGAGTAAGACCATGTGATGCCTAAATTTAAATATTATGCTGAAAAGAAAATATTTGCATAGACTCCTCCAACTTATGCTGGTGCGCATGCAGGTGTTCTCCCTTGAGGAAAATATTTATCAGCCATCACTCTTGCCTTGGCCCTTATCTTTTCTGACAGCTAAATCCAGGTGGATGAACTGAAGTGAAATAAGGGAGCACAGTGTAATGGGCAAAATGGGGATTAATAGGCAGCAATAGAACCAAGATGAAAATGTTTCTGTGAACTGAGGAGGTGGAGGCTCCTGGCCTCCATCAGTGAGCTCAGATAAGTGGAAGCATCTTCTCTGGAGAGACAGGCAAGGGTGCTGGGTCAGTTTCTGCAGTGTCGGAGAAGGCAGAGACCACGAGGGTGTGTTACAGGGACAGGTAGGGCCTTGCGAGCTCAAAGTGGGGCACGGGCTGTTAATGGCAATGTAAAAAGGAAGGTACTTGCTGACATCTCTTGTTTTTCTTCTAATGTCTAGCCATGTCATACACATTAAGAATTATCATTTAGAAAAACAGCGACTATGTATCTTACAAATACAAGATTGAAAAGGCTGTATATTTCCCTCTTTCTACACTTGTCATTCTTATTCAGCTTATTTGTATCTGTAGAGTATGTGTAATTTTTCCATGTGCAAAAATGCTGTTCATGTGTAATAGACTACTGACTTTATTATATATTTGAGCAAAACTGAAGAAATAATAAGCAGCATTGATATTTGTGCAGAAATATAATAAATGTGTAACCATGGTGCTCATTACGTTGAAAGCTCATTTTGTTCCTGCTTTGAAAGAGTCGGCCCAATGTGTTTGACATTTGCAATATAAATAACCCCAGCACTTTGTGGGGGCAGAGAAAGGCGGATAACCTGAGGCCAGTAGTTCAAGACTAGCCTGACCTACATGAAGAAATCCTGCCTCTACTGAAAATATGAAACTAGCCAGGCATGGTGGCACATGCCTGGAATCCCAGCTACTTGGGAGGCTAAGGCAGGAGAATCACTTAAACCTGGGAGGCAGAGGTTGTGGTTAGCCGAGATCGCACCATTGCCCTCTAGCCTGGGCAAGAAGAGTGAAACACCATCCATCTCAAAATAAAATAAAATAAAATAAAAATAAAAAACTAAGATCTTAGAGTTAATATAATGAAATTAACTTGAATGTTATCTGTTTTAAAAATGTCAGCATTGCTTTGTTAATGCATTGCTTGACATTGCAACATTTTCAAAAGGTTAACTACACTTTTGCAGTCTTAAAACGTTTTAAATTTTCTTTCTGAGTTTTTCCACAGTTTATTAGGAAAATAAGCATTAAAGGAAAACAATAGAAATATTTTGTTGTGGCTGGGCGCGGTGGCTCATGCCTATAATCCCAGCACTTTGGGAGGCCGAGGTTGGTGGATCACGAGGCCAAGAAATCGAGACCATCCTGGTCAACAGGGTGAAACCCCGTCTCTACTAAAAAACTTAGCTGGACATGGTGGTGTGCGCCTGTAGTCCCAGCTACTCGGGAGGCTGAGGCAGGAGAATTGCTTAAACCCAGGAGGCAGAGATTGCGGTGAGCCAAGATCACGCCATTGCACTCCAGCCTGGGTGACAAAAGCGAAACTCCGTCTCAAAGAAAAAAAAAAAAGAAATGTTTTGTTGTAAAGGTGACCTAACAGATAAGTTTAAATATAGGGAATTTGGCACTGTGTTGAATGTCTGATTATTAGCACATTAGTGATCTTAAATAAATGTCTAGTGCATTAGACACTCTTTAAGACAAAGTTATCAGAGCTCTGCTTCCAAGGACAGGCTGGCAACATATTTCAGGAAGGATGTGATGATTCTAACGTAGCCTTTGAGCTATCAGAGCCATACAGCAGTGAAGACTCATGAACATTGTTCCCTTCCTGTCTCCCCCCTAAGCCCCAGAAATGTTAGGGAACAAGAAGGAAAGAAAAGCCTCTACTGCATATTTTCCAGGCACCAAACAGCATAAAAGGGCAGTATGATACTACGAACTTTGGCTAATAAAACAAACCGACACATTTAAATGACTACTGAAAATAAACATTGTGGTTTCAAAGATTTGTTGATGATTTAGGGTGAAGTTTTCATATTATGCACTGTCTTAATGTGGGACGATTCCCTTTCTTTTTGTTTATTTAATAAGTATTTGTTAAGTACCTGTATCCACTAGGTACTATTTTAGGTGCTGGTGCTTCAGTGGTAGACAGAGTCCCTGCACTCATACAGTTCTCACTTTGTGGGCCAGGATGCAGATAGAAAATTAGTAAACAGACACAAATACACGACACAATTTCAAATGCCAGGTGTTTAAAGCATTCTGCCTGATTTTTCTGAAGGAGGGGGCAAATAACTTTCTGCTGGCTTAGATCTGTGCTGACTAGGACACAGATCTTACAAATTATAATTTGTAAGAAACTATGGTTACTCAGATATATACAGGAGTATTTATATCTTTCTTATACATATACAATCAATAAGGGCCCTGGGCATTTGATTTTTATTTTATTTCAATGATAAAATGAGTCTAGTTAGTTGTCATAGTTACTAGTGCTGATTTAATGTTAGTGAATTTACTTCACATACATTTAGCATAGGAAAAGTTTGGATTCATTATTTGTAAATTAGAAACACAGAATAAATCCTAATTAAATTACTTGTCCTGGTGTAAGAATCAGCATATGCGAATTATTTTTGCATTTGCCAAATTATAACGAAGTTCTTAACAAAATGAGAGATATTAAAGGCCCACGGCAATGGTTCTTAAACTTCACCGTGTACTTAGGGATTACCCATGAACACTGATAAAAGGCAGATTGTAGGGCTCAGACATAGCACATTCTGATTGTTTTATTTGTTGACTATTGCCCAGGAATCTGAGTTTTCAATAAGCATCCTGAGTGATTCCAATAAAGATGGTCTTGGAACCCCACGGAGACCCATTCTCTCTTTCTTATTGGGTTGTATCAGATATACATGAGTTGATTTTTGTTTTTGTTTTTCAATGACACTCAAGCAACTGCAGAGAACAATTTTAAGTACTCTCTGACATAAGTATCTAGGAACCAGTAGTGAAATATATTCTTCTACACAAAAGTAATAGAGTAGTTTTATGCCATAAGACCAAAGTTCCTGGCTCCTGTCCTAGAATAGTGTAGTATTGTTTAATTGATTAACAGGTGGACGCTAACCTAAAAAAGATAAATATGTATAGAATTAGAGAAATACTGTACAGAAGGATGGAGTCTAACGGTGCCTGGAATTTTCAAAATCATCAATCAGAGTAATAATTTTAAATGTGCCACAAAGTAATACCATAATCCAAAGAGGTTATACATTCATTTGCTTAACTTTCATCCATGAAAATCTTTATATAATTACTGCTTGTTCTTTTGAAATCCTTTCCTACTGTGTAGTTTGTAAAAGCTCAAAATAGATCAAAACTAGTTGTTACCCTATTTACTTCTGTAAACACAGAACTCTGTTAAGGCTTTTAGGTGAAGTAAGCTTGAATATAGGCTATGTTCTGTCATGTATGACTAAAACAAAAACTCAGCCTAAGGAAACTCCTGTTGCAGACATTGGCACTACAAAAAGTACAAAAGTTAGCTGGGCGTGGTGCACAGACCGTCTCCGTGCTGCCTACTCTAGGTTGCAGTATGTTCCCCACACACATCTTTAATGGTTTAAAATGGGATTTTAATTTTTTTTCCAGTTTGTATGCTCTGCCAGCTGTATGCTTCCTCTGCCTGTTTCCAAAGTGAAGAAAATGAAAAAATCTTTTTTTCTAATACTGTAGTAATAGAGAAATCTGTATTTTGGATTAATATTCTTTAATAAGAACCTAACTCAATAGATTGCCCTCTAATTGATTACAATTCCCACTGGAACACTTCCCCAGGTTGACTGAAGGGCCAGGTTTTTTCTTATTCTTCCTTCCATCCTCTATTCAGTTTCAGTTGAGAATCTACTAAACTAAGATTACATTGACCACTCAATTGTAGGCAGAAAGGGACTGCATTGATTAGTTCAACTGCCTCATTTTCAAAGAAACTAAAGCCCACGGATCGATTTACCAAAGTGGGTGTATTCTTCTTATCTGTGCTGTCCTATTGTTCAAGATCCCGAACTAGTCATAAAGCAAATGGTAGCAGATGGGAACTTCTGGAATGGGTTTAGGTGTGAGGAAGACAAAGGTCTAGTGGCAAGGTCAGCTCTGGAGGTAGGTTACTTGGATTCCAATCTACTTAGTTGTGTGCTCTTGGGAAAATTACATAACTTTTCTGTGCCTCAATTTATTTGAAAGATGGTGTATAATAGTATCTATCTCACAGCGTAATTGTGAGGATTATTGAGCTATTCTACCAAAAGTATTAAAACATGTGATTAAACTTCCAGTAAACACTATTTTTACCCGAATCACAAACGGCCAAACCCTTAAGTCTTGAGCTCCCAAGGGGAATTAGGAACCCGCCTGTGGCATTCCTCTTCTAAAAGCCTGCTGAACAAAAGTTGATGTTGCATTTTCAAAGAGCTCAAATGGATTACTTTTATGAAGTTCAGGGCAAATGAATTACACATATACATACATGACCCTCCGTCAACACCCAGAAGGTATGTGGACATGCAGAATTCAAAAGTCTGAGGGTGACTGTGCTCGGGGGGTGAAGAGATGCTTAGAAACCGCCTCTTTGAGGAGGAAGGCAGGACGTTCAATAAGAGCAGCTGGCGACCAAAGAACTAAACTTTAACGCAACAAAGGTGAGTCGGTCTCCCTGCGACCACAGGCATCCAACGCAGGAACACCTTGCTCCACCTGGAAGGCCCAGGTGCAGCTGGAGGGGGACTGAAAGGGTCAGACCTCGGGATTGTTCTCAACTTCGGGCTTTTACACAGCAGTTTCAAAGACAAAGGGGCTTTTCAGCTAGGTTTGGCTCATCGTCCCCCTCCTCCCAGGCCCAAGCTTGGTCCCCAATGTCCCCAGCAATGCTTGGAACGTCCCTCACTCCGCTCCTTTTTTGGGGGGCCACTGCCCACCCCTAGGTTGCCTGCTGTCCCTCCTAGAGAGAGGTGGATGGCCGTGACATTCCAGGGAGAACAAAGGGAGGAGTGAGGAGGCAAATACGCCATTCTAAAGTTTCACCCCGGAAAGGCATCCCACCCCGCCCGCGAGGCACCCTCAGGCTACAGCCTTCGGCGAGCCTCCTCCCTTCGCCCCGCCCCTCGGCACGGGGGAGGGGCGCTGTGCTGCCGGCGCTCTCTGATTGGCGACCGCATCACGGTTCCACGCCGCGATTGTGCCGTGGGCGGCCATCGGCACCTGCGTGTGCAAAGTGGAAAACTGGCGTTGGGAGTTGCTGGAAGTCAAAGGCGGGCGGCGGCTGGGTGCAAAGTAGAGAGCAGTCTTTGGTTTAAGCCTTTCTGTCGCCCTCCGGCACCGCCAGTACCACGGAATCCACCCTGCCGCGGCCCCTCGGCGATGCGGTGCAGCTGCCACTCGACCAGGTGGTTTCAGGTACTGAGGCACCCAGACATCGGACACACGCCCTCGCCACCCTTTGTGGCCGTGGTGCCACCAGACCGGGGGCCTGGGGCCTGGGTGAGGGGTGGGACTGGGGCCCGCCGCTGCTGGAAGTGAGGGGGAGACAAGCCTGTCCCGGTGACCTTTCGCTCCCGCCGGCCTCCTTCCTGCCTCCGCGGCGTGCGCCCCAGAACCCTATCTGCCGCCCAGGGCCGGCGTGGTCCGGGCGTCGGTGTCGGCGACAGCCCCGGAAAGGGTCTTCATGTAGACTTGAGGGTGTGCGTGCTGGTCCCTTCCCTCTGCCACAGCGGGGCTGGGACTCAGCCGTTGGGTCCCTTCAGATGCACAGGCTGGGATGTAGACTTAGCGGAAGGCTGTGCTCCGGCGTGGTGGTGCCTGCCCAGCGGGTGGCTCTGAAGGACCCCCGGAAAGGCTGAGGCGTGGGTCTAGGTGTGAACGGTGCATCATCGCTGTTTTCCACCCTGACATGCAGTGTAGCATGTCACACTCCTGATTTAAACAGGTTGCTGCCAGTGTATCAGCAAATGCAGGGTAGGTGTCTGTAAAAAAACTGATGAGGAGCAAGGGAGATAGCCATATACATTTACATTTCTTTTAGGGAGACTGGCCTGTGTTTACATTCTCTTTCTCTTCCCCCTTTCCTTTCTCTGAACCGGTGTCTGCCATAGGCTTACCCCTCCCTCCCACCCCGAAATATTTCCTTATTTATGCTAATGTTGTACTGGCTTAAGCATAGAAAGTCAACACCAAGACAAAAGTATGCCAAATTGCAGGGTCTTTATTGCCGGCGGCCACGGAGGACTCGCGTCTCTCCAACCCGTGGCCCAAAAGGAGGGTGTCAAGACATTTTATAACCATAAAACCACCTCGGGAGTGAGGGTGAGGGGCTTCCGACGTTCTGAGGGCTAGTGGATTCTATGAATCACCTCCTGGGTGGAGATGAGCGTGAGTGGCTCTGGACATTCCAGTGGGTTCCTAGGTGAAAAGGAGGGTGAGGGGCTCCGGACAATCCCAGGGCCAGGTGACTTTTGACATTCTGATTGTTACTTAATAACTTAAGTGGTTCAAAAAAGCCAAGATTAGCATTTGTTTACACATTGTCTGGGTAGGGTGGAAATTACAGTCCTTAATTACTTGTTACAAGTCACAGGGGCCAAGATGGCATGGGTGTGGACTGCCACATTTGAGTCGCAGAGAGCAGTTTCAATAGAAAGCCGAGGTATGGTTGAGGTATGCAGTTTTATGGGGCTTTTACCATGTCACACTAATAATACCTTTTTCATAGTAATGAACTCATTTAAACATCTCAGCAACCAGAGAAAGTTCTTTTCAGTACTGAAATAATCAGGAGAATCCGGGGAAGGAGACAGGACTTAAAACTTTTTGACATGTCTTTCTTTGTTTAGCTGAAGGTCTTGAGTTTGTATCTTGGGACTGCTATACATTTGTACAGCCACGTGTAGCCCTAATTTGTGTAGTACAGTTATGTACTGCATAGTGCCAATGAGGTCATCGGAGCTCATATATGATTTTGGTCCCACGGATTACAAGGAGCTGAGAAATTTCCATTGCCTAGTGAAGCTGTAGTATTCATAATTTCTTAGTTGCTCATGTTTTTGTGGTGATGCTGGTGTAAACAAACTTACTGTGCAGCCAGTCCCTGTAAAAGTGTAGCATATGCAGTTATGTACAGTACATAATATTTGATAACATTAAATATATTATTGGTTTGTCATTTTATCATTGTTTTAGTGTGTACTTCTGTTGATTAAAAAGAAAAGTTAACTACAGAACAGCCTGAGGTGGGTCTTTCAGGAAATATTCCAGAAGAAGGCACTGTCATAATAGCAGGTGAGAGCTACATGTGTGTTCTTGCCCCTAAAAACCTTTCAGTGCGACGAGATTCGAGGTGGGAGACAGTGATGTGCATGATCTGGACCCAGTGTAGGCCCAAGCTAGTGGGTGTTTGTGTCTTAGTTTTTAAGAAAAAGTTTTAAAATTAAAAACAGAACAAAGCTTATAGAATTAGGATATAAGGAAAGAATATTTTGTACAATACAAATGTACAATGTGTGTTTTAAGCTAAGTGCAATTATAGAAGAGTTTAAAAGTTTGTAAAATAAAAAAGTTACGGTAAGCCAAGGTTAACTGAAGAAAGAAGAACTTTTCCGTGTAGCCTAAGTGTAAAGTCTTTATGAAGTCAATAGTGGTGTACAGCAATGTCTGAGACCTTAACATTCATTCACCCCCCACTTCCCCACAACAACTTTTAGTCCTGCAGTCTCCATTCATGGGGAGTGCCCTATATAAGTATACCATTTTCTATCTTTTTTTTTTTGAGATGGAGTTTCACTCTTGTTACCCAGACTGGAGTGCAATGGCACACTCTCGGCTCACCGCAACCTCTGCCTCCTGGGTTCAGGCAATTCTCCTGCCTCAGCCTCCTGAGTAGCTGGGATTACAGGCATGCACCACCTTGCCCAGCTAATTTTTTGTATGTTTAGTAGAGACGGGATTTCACCATGTCGACCAGGATGGTCTCGATTTCTTGACCTCGTGATCCACCCGCCTCGGCCTCTCAAAGTTCTGGGATTACAGGCATGAGCCATCGCGCCAGGCCTCCATTTTCTATCTTTTATGCTGTATTTTCACAGTACCTTTTCTATGTTTAGATACACACATACTATAGTATTCATTACAGTAAGCTACTATATAGGTCTGCAACCTAGGAGTAATAGACTGTATCATCTAGGTGCATGTGTAGTAGGCTAGACTGTCTAGGTTTGTATAAGTCCACTGTGATGTCCACAGTGAATTGCATAATGATGCATTTTTAAGAATGTACCCCCATTATTAAGCAACACATGAGTATATTTACAGTTGTTTTCTATTTGAGCAAGTCTTGAGAATATTTGATTAATACCGCATAAGCCTTAACTTTTCATACTGACAGTTGTTTCTTTGAAGCACCTAAGAATCAACTTGCTTGTTGATAAAGTTCTTGAAATAATTAAAAACTCATATTGTAAAATTGGATGAATAAAATCATTTAGCTATTATTTTAAATTGAGCATTTTAGATAACATGGGACATTTTATAATGTAAATAGTCCAGGTTGAGAAAAAGCTTAGAAATTTGTTGTGATCAAATAGTGTGAGTCGGCAGGAAAAAGGCAAATCAGGAAATGAAAAGTGCAAAAATACAATGTAGCAGTATGTTGATTTGGTGTGTGCAAATTAACAGTGTTTTGAAAAATTAGAAAATTATAGAAGTAGTTGTTTAATGTCAGATGAAGAAAAGGACTTTAGTGTAACAAGAACAATTAACTTTTTATTAGAGTAAGTATAGAATTTATGAGATGATAGAAATTATTTGTCCACATGGAATGTAAGAACATGCCTTGTGGGGCCAGGTAGCAGAAGGGAGGGAGTGTTTTGCAATAAGGCTGAGGCCAGGGAAGGAAAAGGATCAAAAGATCTTGCCATTGACTCCTCCTGTGTTGTTTAAACATTACTGAGAATTCCAGAGTGACCTTGAGTTAGACATAGTATTTGTAGGTCTTAAATCTTAGTAGAATATCTATTATCAAGTGAGGTGACACCATGCTGTAAGATTGAAAGTATCTAAGCATCTGAGGTTTGCCTTTGTAGGCCTTGCTTTCCAGATGATTTTATGTCTAGGTTAAAGTTTAGTAGGTGATTTTGATTAAAGAAAAATATGGAGAGAAGGTTTTGAGGAATAAATTGGACTAAGGGAGAGCTGTGCCATGAAAAGGGTCAGATGTGTGATTTAGAAGACATCAGATATCATTGAACATATTTGTGTTCTTTGTTAGTTTCTGATGTGCGCTGATGTTCAGTTCATCTGTAACCTAAAAAATAAGGTGGGCTGGGTGAGGTGGCTCATGCCTGTATCCCAGCACTTTGGGAGGCTGGGGGAGGTGAATCACCTGAGGTCAGGAGTTTAACATCAGCCTGACCAAAATGGTGAAACCCATCTTTACTAGAAATACAAAAGTTATCCGGGCATCGTGGTGCATGCCTGTAATCCAAGCTACTCAGGAGGCTGAGGCAGGAGAATCGCCTGAACCCAGGAGGCAAAGGTTGCAGTGAGCGAATTGCATTCCAGCCTGGGCAACAGGAGTAAAACTCTGTCTCGTGATGAGGCAATCATATATTTTAAAACAGTTGTAATTGAAGTATAACATATATAGAGAAATGCATAGATCTTAAGTGTGCAGTTTAATCAATTTTGACAAACGTGTACATGTATGTAACTCATACTGTGTAACTCTTGTAAAGGTGAACATGGTACACCAGAGTAAACAAGGTGTAAGTATTAGATGATGAGTAAAAGAGATTGGGAGGCCTTTGGTTTAAGAAAAGTATAGGAAGCCATCGAATTTTTAGAAATACACTATGTGTTTTAGAAGAGTTTTAAATTTACAGAAAGTTGTGAAAATAGTAGAGTTTTCAAATAACTTTCATCCAGTTTTCATATTGTTAAACTGTTACATTAGTGTGGTTATTTGTCACATTTAGTGAAGTAATATTGGATACATTATTATTGATTAAATTCTATACATGATGGATTTGTTTAGTTTTTACTTAAGGTCTGTATCAGTTAGCAGCCATAACAAAATTCCATAGACTGAGAGGATTAAACAAAAGAAATTTGTTTTCAAAGATCTGGAGGTGAAAAGTCTGAGATTGGGTGCCAGGATGGTTGGGTTCCTGTGAGGAGTCTTCCTCATTTGCACATGGCACAGTCCCCTTTCCTAGGTGTGTTTTCACCAGAAGAAGTGTCTTTATAAGAGCACTAATTCCATTAGACCAGGGCCCTGCCCTCATGACTTCATCTAATGCTGATTACCTCCCAAACACCCTAGCTCCAGATACTATTACATTTGAGGTTAAAGCTTCAGCATATGAGGATTCTGGGCAGGACACAAACATTCAGTTTATAACAAGGTC